AAACTTTATCATTATGCCTAGGTATAAAATTGTACTGTGAAATATGTTTAAATCATTTTAATTCTCAATCTATCTTAGACAAGCATTTAGTTAACTGTAAACCCTTAAATAAATAAAAAATTATTCTTCCAAAAGAAAATTAAAACATTATACATTTTAATAAATTTAAACCAGTTTGTCCTGAACATTTACACCTATTTCAGAATATGAAAATTCAAAACTATTGACTACTTTATATGACAAAAAATATGTGATTGATTACAGACATTTTGAGCAAGCCATTAGTTAGGTTTTAAGGCTTGTAAAAATTCGTAGGTGTCTGAAGTTTAAACAATCAAAGTGGTTAAAAGAATATATAGATTTAAATACTAATTTACGGAAAGAAAGTCGAAACGATTTCGAAAAGAATTTTTATAAATTAATAAACAATGTAAAAAAATATCATGAAGTCAAATTAGTGAGTGACTGGTTAGGAAGGTTTGGAGCAAATTACTACATCTCACAACCTAATTTCCACAGTTGTATTATAATTGACAAAAATATAGTGTTAATAGAAATGAAAAAATGAAAAGTTAACTTTAACAAACCCATTTAAAAGTGTATGTGTATTAGACATTTCAAAATATTTTTGTATGATTTCCATTAAATAACCATTTTTTAATCCGTTCACCGTGTCAATTTTCCGCGTTGACAAAAAAACATCAAGATTCCATGATCTGGACTGGGATCTGGGGTACGATTAGTTATACAAGCGTACGGAATTTTATATTATCTAACATTAATCGAAATACAACAGTATACGCCAAAGGACTAGAAAAAAGTGCGTGGATAGAGAACATGTTGATGAATAAAGTCTGTGTTAACCTCATAGGTCAAACGTTAACATTTAGAAAGCTGGAAGAGCATTTTCCAGGTACAGGACGTTGCGAAAAACATTTCATGACGTGTACACTGCACAACGTTTTTTCAATTTATAAATACTTGCGATTCGGAATACAACAAATCGAGTAAAAAATATTAACGAAAGAATAGGCAAAAAGAAAAAAATCAATTCAATACATACAAAAATATTTTTGTATGATTTCCATTATACAAAAATTTTGGACAAAATGGAAAATTATTGTACACTGATACTGATAGTCCAATTTATCATTTTTTTTTTGTTGATGATACATACATACATTCTAATAATACTTACCAAATTCCATTAGCGAACAAAAAAGTTTTATGGTTAATGAAAGATGAAAATAATGGTGATATAATGACCGAATTTGTCAGATTACATTCAAAAATGCACCTTCAGAGATTATTAACTACTCCTCAGGAAAAGGATGTACAAATTCAAAAGATGTATGATAAACAATTCACACAAATAGAAATTGAAAATGTCCTCTCAAATTTTGGAGTGACCAAAAAGGCTAAAGGAGTTCAGACGTCGCCGTCGGTTTTAAAGGAAATTACATTTGATTCAATAATCGCAAATTCTATAAGAATTGAAAATCATGATGTTTACATAGCCGAGCAAAATAAACTTGCACTGAATCCTCATGATAACAAACGCACGGTGAATTAGTTAAATACAGACACATTGTCATGGGGCTGTCATGATGAAGTTCGTTTCTTTCAATAAAGTTAAAGATAAAACTTTATTTGTCTGAACATAATCTACTTCATGCAATCTCAATTTTGTTGCTTGAAAAACAAAACATTGATTGGTAAAGAAACTGATTTTTTTTTTAATATTTCAACTGAGTATATTTATATATTTTCAGTCTAAAACTGTCACGTTTGTAAGCAAACCTTTGCATCAATGTAACTTCTTACAAACGCCAGTAAACGACGAGGTTGTGCTCCAAGAAATTGAGGCAAAACTTCAAGCGTTCCAAAATCAGGGTAGAAGATGTTTTGTGGATGGAGGCTACACAGCATTTTTGTTAAAACCTACATCGCTTTATGACGATGCAGACCTAGTTGTTGAAGGCTACAAATAGACGAACAACTTAAAGAAGATTATAACATGTTTAAATATGAAAGTTTTTACCACTGTCGTGATAATATAAGATTCAACATCATATTTTTGGGTAAAATGACAGAATGTGACTGGAAAACTTTTATATCAGAATGTATCACCGAATTTGGTCTGCCGATATCGTATGGCATTGTTTTTATGGTCCACCACAAATCAGTTTGAAGTAATTATGGACGAGATGGCAGATCTTACTGTTTCAATCAATGCCAATGCTAGCATGTTACGTGTTTTAAAGCATTTAACTAGATCTAATTTTAATTAATAGGGTAGGTATGTTAAAGTTTATTTAAGTGTTTAAATTAATGGGGGGAGGTCTTTTTTTCAGTAGCGGGATTCATGTATAATCCGCACCAAAGGACCTCAAAGCAATTTCGATTTGTGAATTTTTGTTTTGTGATGAAAGTTTAAAAACTAGTGACGATGATGACAAATATTACAGAAAAAGCTTCAAAAATTAAATTAATTAAAGAAAAACTTAAGCGTAGCTATATTTTCACAAGTAAATTGCGTAACAATAATAGTGTACTGTTTAGTGCAAAGTTAAGTGCTTGTGATATAAGTAGGCTAATAGAAAAAACAGTGCTACCTAATAGGGTTAAGAAAGCTTTAAGAAAGGAATATAATCTTCCGGATCACACTGAAGAGAGTGATCATGATTCAGAAGAAACAGTAGCTAATGATTAATTTTTAAGTTTGTTTATTTGTTAATTAATATAAGATCATTTATGTACTTGTTTTTAACTATAAAGAATAATCCTCTCAAAGAGATTATGTTGCTTTCTGGTGTGGCATCCGCCCGGTTTCTACACTTCACAATTTTACGAACATTAATCACATTCGCTAGGTAATCAAAATCACATGTGTTGAATTGACGAATCGACGACTCGGCGTAGTCGGTTCGAATCACTACGAAAGCAATCTGATTTTTTTTCACGCCAAAGAAAATAATTTACCTACGATTGGATAAAAAAAATGTCACAAAATTAAAATTAGGGTTTTTTTACCTTTTTTCAAAACACCTCAAAAACACCTGTGATTACACCTGCGACTACTTCCTTTACCTGGAGGGGGCACGCTCTAACTTCAGAACCCTCTGGTCATTGCTGATCACGACTTGTAGAAGTGGCCTTGAAAGACCCTCGGGGATCGGCACTTCTTCAGCCCAAGAATGACCCTCCAAGGTCATGAACAGAGGACATGTCATCAAGATGTCATGGAAACTCTAAACCAACAACAACAAAAGAAACGGCTGTCATCAATTAGAAAAAAGTCGAAGACTAAATCCAAAACGTCGAGCATGTTAGAAAAGTTTAACCTACTGGAGCCTTCGCATGGTTAAATTTATCGACGATGAAAAAGAACAATCTCTATTTGATTACGGACATGAGACGGCATACAACAAAGTACGGCGAAAGATTAATGGTGAAACTGGATAACATAAACGAGGTGTATCTCCCGCAACATTTTCATTCTTTGACAGATCGACAAATTACCGTGTTGGGTGTTGAAAAATATGTGTTGTTAAACAGGGGCGTAAAAGGTCAAAGTTTTATACTAGAAGTAATATAAAAAATGGAATTCGACAGAATAAATCTCATCGAAGTATTATCGGCACCACCACAACAACAACCATGATCATGAACTACAGAAAAATCATGAACGATAGTTCTACCAAAGTCTGTGGAAATTATACTATCATCACCATCAACAGGTCAGGTGACGGTAATTGATAATGAAGATGAAGAAACCGTTTATCCAAACTCAGCGGTATTAAACTTTTACTCTCAAAAACCTTGCCTGTGTTTGAAGAAGAATGAAAAGCAATGCAAGTAATTTTATATATTATTATTTATACTTAATATTCTTAAATATATTTATAGTAATATTTTTTTAATTTTCTTTTCAGTTATAATTCTATTAAGTCAACCACATGTACCCTGTCGGTCGGTGACTTCATCAAACGACCAAGGACACTAGCTATCGTGCCATCCATACTTGGACAACTTCATTTGTTGAAAACGAAGAAATTCTTCTTTGTGTTCGTGCAGGATTTGATCTCCGTACATCATTAGAAAATTTTCAGCGTTCATCATCGCACAATTTCACGAAGATTTATATCGACGACTAATACATGTGGTGAACTTAAAGTATTTAAATGTTATTATAAAGATTTCTCGTTTGAATAAAAATTATGAGCATCTCTATCTTTTTTATTTCTCTTTTTTTTTTCGTCTAATCAAATTTAAATAAATGCAATCCCACTGTCATTTGCTATATCTTTTTTCCTTTTCAGTGCCTTAATCCTACGACAGCACCCCCACCACTGCTGAGGGGGCATGTCTTAGAGGCCAAGCAACACCCCACCACCACGAAACACGCCCCGTGCCTGACACGCCCAGCGTGCCCAAATTGAGCCAGAACATACATAAACATACCACTCATATGTATTCGATTCGTCGTGTGATTACAAATTTGTAAAGCAGTGCAACTAACTGGTTGACAAACCATTTACATGGATTAAAACTCGACACAGGCTGTCACTCTACACTCAATTACGGACAAATTTCAAACTTCCTGAAAACCTTTATATTGGACAACACCAATAATGAACATGATGAAATTTGTGTAGCTTTCGAGAGAAGTGAAAAAAAAGAATGGTTAGGTCAAATACTTTTCGAAACGCAAATCCTCGATTTGGACGAAGAAGCATGTCTTCGACTAGAAGATTTAAAGAAAATTTTTAAGTCGCATCACTGTCAGCAGCACTTGTAAAATCATGGTGTTATAGCCATTCTTGTTTTTGACGTTGTTTTGAAGCAAATTGTTGCAGTGTAACCCCCCTCTACAGATAAATTTCTGCTGATCACGTAATTTTATTAATAAACTTGTGCTGACAGTGTGATCTATATTTTAAGTGCTATATTTCAAAAACAAATTTCCACTGACTGTTAATTTTTTTGCTAATGTTGCTAAAGGCATGTTGGACCGCCAATGGTGGGAGAGAAAATTACGTTTCTCTTCAGTATAAATAAGTGTTCGAGTTCGTCACAGCCATCATCTTTAGCACCCACATGGTACCAAAAACTATTATTATCTATTTATTTTTTATATTATTATTATAGTACTACAATGAGTCAGAGCCTGAAAAATATTGATGTCCTTACCAGCGAGATCATTTGCAAAATTGAATTGGTGAGTAGATTAGTTAAAACAAAAGAAGAAGGTAAAAAAATATTCAGTACTTGAAAAGAACTATTTCAGTGGTAAAGAATTGTATTAAAATCAAATCTAGTTATGTAAATAGGTTTTCAAAAGTTCAATCAAATTTAACCATATTAAAAAATTATGACTGAAATATCAAACTCAAATTAAATACGGCAAAGAATGGAAAGGCAAAAAATGTACTTTGGTAAGACGTTGATTATTTTAGTGGTAGAATTAAACCTGGAATTATAACAAATTTAAAAATTAAAGATCCAAAAGAATTTGTAACAAAATCAGTTAGATTTTCAAAAAAAAATTAGAAGAGAACTAAACAACTCTTCATTGAAAGCGAATGTAGTTTTTGCTGGATTATTTATAAAACCCCAAACAGCTGAAACTTTTTTAAATTTTTTTCAACAAAAACCGAATAACAGATCATGATATCAAGCTAAAAGATTGGCATAAAACATATGTTATTCACAAAATTCTAACAAAATTGAAGGTATCAATATTTTGTAAAAAACGAAGTTTTACCATTATCACTTAGTAAAAGAGATTTTTCACCTCGATTATTGATATGAAGAACGTATTAGTGCTGGTAATAGTTGTAGTTGTAGTAGTGATAACAGAAATAGATTGGAGTGGTTATGATGAAAATGATATTAGTAAGTACAATTCAAATAAAACTTTATCATTATGCCTAGGTATAAAATTGTACTGTGAAATATGTTTAAATCATTTTAATACTCAATCTATCTTAGACAAGCATTTAGTTAACTGTAAACGCTTAAATAAATAAAAAATTATTCTTCCAAAAGAAAATTAAAACATTATACATTTTAATAAATTTAAACCAGTTTGTCCTAAACATTTACACCTAAGTATTTCAGAATCTGAAAATTCAAAATTATTGACTACTTTATATGACAAAAAATATGTGATTGATTACAGACATTTTGAGCAAGCCATTAGTTAGGTTTTAAGGCTTGTAAAAATTCGTAGGTGTCTGAAGTTTAAGCAATCAAAGTGGTTAAAAGAATATATAGATTTAAATACTTATTTACGGAAAGAAAGTCGAAACGATTTCGAAAAGAATTTTTATAAATTAATAAACAATGTAAAAAAATACCATGAAGTCAAATTAGTAACTAACTGGTTAGGAAGGTTTGGAGCAAATTACTACGTCTCACAACCTATTTTCCACAGTTGTATTATAATTGACAAAAATATAGTGTTAATAGAAATGAAAGAATGAAAAGTTAACTTTAACAAACCCATTTAAAAGGGTATGTGTATTAGACATTTCAAAATATTTTTGTATGATTTCCATTATATAACCATTTTTTAATCCGTTCACCGTGTCAATTCTCCGCGTTGACAAAAAAACATCAAGATTCCATGATCTGGACTGGGATCTGGGTACGATTAGTTATACAAGTGTACGGAATTTTATATTATCTAACATTAATCGAAATACAACCCTATACACCAAAGGACTAGAAAAAAGTGCGTGAATAGAGAACATGTTGATGAATAAAGTCTGTATTAACCTCGTCGGTCAAACGTTAACATTTAGAAAGCTGGAAGAGCATTTTCCAGCTGCACAACGTTTTTTCAATTTATCAATACTTGCGATTCGGAATACAACAAATCGAGTAAAAATATAAACGAAAGAATAGGTAAAAAGAAAAAAATTAATTCAATACATACAAAAATATTTTTGTATGATTTCCATTATACAAAAATTTGACAAAATGGAAAATTATTGTACACTGGTACTGATAGTCCAATTTATCATTTTTTTTTTGTTGATGATACATACAAATACATTAAGGAAAATATTAAGAAGTTTGATACTTCCGATTATCCTTCTAATAATACTTATCAAATTCCATTAGCGAACAAAAAAGTTTTATGGTTAATGAAAGATGAAAATAATGGTGACATAATGACCGAATTTGTCAGATTACATTAAAAAATGCACCTTCAGAGATTATTAACTACTCCTCAGGAAAAGGATGTACAAATTCAAAAGATGTATGATACACAATTCACACAAATAGAAATTGAAAATGTCCTCTCAAATTTTGGAGTGACCAAAAAGGCTAAAGGAGTTCAGACGTCGCCGTCGGTTTTAAAGGAAATTACATTTGATTCAATAATCTCAAATTCTATAAGAACTGAAAATCATGATGTTTACATAGCCGAGCAAAATAAACTTGCACTGAATCCTCATGATAACAAACGCATGGTGAATTAGTTAAATACAGACACATTGTCATGGGCCTGTCATGATGAAGTTCGTTTCTTTCAATAAAGTTAAAGATAAAACTTTATTTGTCGGAACATAATCTACTTCATGCAATCTCAATTTTGTTGCTTGAAAAACAAAACATTGATTGGTAAAGAAACTGATTTTTTTTTAATATTTAAACTGAGTATATTTATATATTTTCAGTCTAAAACTGTCACGTTTGTAAGCAAACCTTTGCATCAATGTAACTTCTTACAAACGCCTGTAAACGACGAGGTTGTGCTCCAAGAAATTGAGGCAAAACTTCAAGCGTTCCAAAATAAGGGTAGAAGATGTTTTGTGGATGGAGGCTACACAGCATTTTTGTTAAAACCTTCATCGCCTTATGACGATGTAGACCTAGTTGTTGAAGGCTACAAATAGACGAACAACTTAAAGAAGATTATAACATGTTTAAATATGAAAGTTTTTACCACTGTCGTGATAATATAAGATTCAACATCATATTTTTGGGTAAAATGACAGAATGTGACTGGAAAACTTTTATATCAGAACGTATCACCGAATTTGGTCTGCCGATGTCGTGTGGCATTGTTTTTATGCTCCACCACAAATCAATTTGAAGTAATTATGGACGAGATGGCAGATCTTACTGTTTCAATCAATGCCAATGCTAGCATGTTACGTGTTTTGAAGCATATAACTAGATTCTAATTTTAATTAACGGGGTAGGTATGTTAAAGTTTATTTAAGTGTTTAAATTAATGGGGGGAGGTCTTTTTTTCAGTAGCGGGATTCATGTATAATCCGCACCAAAGGACCTCAAAGCAATTTCGATTTGTGAATTTTTGTTTTGTGATGAAAGTTTAAAAACTAGTGACGATGATGACAAATATTACAGAAAAAGCTTCAAAAATTAAATTAATTAAAGAAAAACTTAAGCGTAGCTATATTTTCACAAGTAAATTGCGTAACAATAATAGTGTACTGTTTAGTGCAAAGTTAAGTGCTTGTGATATAAGTAGGCTAATAGAAAAAACAGTGCTACCTAATAGGGTTAAGAAAGTTTTAAGAAAGGAATATAATCTTCCGGATCACACTGAAGAGAGTGATTATGATTCAGAAGAAACAGTAGCTAATGATTAATTTTTAAGTTTGTTTATTTGTAATAATTAATATAAGATCATTTATGTACTTGTTTTTAACTATAAAGAATAATCCCCTCAAAGAGATTATGTTGCTTTCTGGTGTGGCATCCGCCCGGTTTCTACACTTCACAATTTTACGAGCATTAATCACATTCGCTAGGTAATCAAAATCACATGTGTTGAATTGACGAATCGACGACTCGGCGTAGTCGGTTCGAATCACTACGAAAGCAATCTGAATTTTTTTCACGCCAAAGAAAATAATTTAACTACGATTGGATAAAAAAAATGTCACAAAATTAAAATTAGGGTTTTTTACCTTTTTTCAAAACACCTCAAAAACACCTGTGATTACACCTGCGACCACTTCCTTTACCTGGAGGGGCCACGGTCTAACTTCGGAACCCTCTGGTCATTGCTGATCACGACTTGTAGAAGTGGCCTTGAAAGACTCTCGGGGATCGGCACTTCTTCAGCACAAGAATGACCTTGCAAGGTCATAGACAGAGGACATGCTATCGAGGTGTCATGGAAACCCCAAACCAACAACAACAAAAGAAACGGCTGTCATCAATTAGAAAAAAGTCGAAGACCAAATCCAAAACGTCGAGCATGTTAGAGAAGTTTAATCTACTGGAGCCTTCGCATGGTTAAATTTATCGACGATGAAAAAGAACAATCTCTATTTGATTACGGACATGAGACGGCATACAACAAAGTACGGCGAAAGATTAATGGTGAAACTGGATAACATAAACAAGGTGTATCTCCCGCAACATTTTCAATCTTTGACAGATCGACAAATTACCGTGCTGGGTGTTGGAAAATATGTGTTGTTAAACAGGGGCGCAAAAGGTCAAAGTTTTATACTAGAAGTAATATTAAAAATGGAATTCGACAGAATAAGTCTCATCGAAGAATTATCGGCACCACCATAACAACAACCATGATCATGAACTACAGAAAAATCATGAACGATAGTTCTACCAAAATCTGTGGAAATTATACTATCATCACCATCAACAGGTCAGGTGACGGTAATTGATAATGAAGATGAAGAAACCGTTGATCCAAACTCAGCGGTATTAAACTTTTACTCGCAAAAACCTTGCCTGGGTACTAATACATGTGGTGACCTTAAAGAATTTAAATATTATTATAAAGATTTCTCGTTTGAATAAAAATTATGAGCGTCTCAATCTTTTTTATTTCTCTTTTTTTTTCGTCTTACACTAATCAAATTTAAATAAATGCTATCTCACTGTCATTTGCTATATCTTTTTTCCTTTTCAGTGCCTTAATCCTGCGACAGCACCCCCACCACTGCTGAGGGGGCATGTCTTAGAGGCAAAGCAATACCCCACCACCACGAAACACGTCTCCCGTCAGGACACGCCCAGCGTGCCCAAATTGAGCCAGAACATACATAAACATACTACTCACATGTATTCGATTCGTCTGTGACTTCATCAAACGACCAAGGACAGTAGTAAATACGTGCAGTGCATACTTAGACAAATTCATTTCTTGGAAACGAAGAAATTCTTCTGTGTTCATGCGAGATTTTATCTCCGTACATTATTTGAAAATTTTCAACGTTGATCATTACTATTTCACGAAGATTTATATCAACGACTAATACATGTGGTGTAATTACAAGTATTTAAACATTCGTTTAAATAAAAGTTAAATTACATCTATTTTTTATCCCTCTTTTCTTTTTCCTCCAGCATTAAGCGAGCATGCCTTAATCCAGTAACAGCACCCCGTCACAGCTGAGGGGGCTTGCCTTAGTGACGAAACAACATCCCACCAGAGATATCAAGATAAGAGATTACTAATCAAATCAAACAACAAAACATAACACACATACACCAAATCTATACAAACCACACCCACCGTACCTTCAACTTACGACAATAATATTTACATTTTTTTTAATGTAATGGAGTCTACAAAAAAGTGCGGATTCTCTACATCCACATCCTCATTCTAGGAGTTGTAATCAGAGAGGTGAAACCACGGCAGTATACATAACTTTTTCCATAGGCCCATCATTGTCGTTGAACTGATTAATGAACCGCTGACACATCTCTTGTCTTTGAAGCAGGTCTGTAGGAAGCATTCATTGATTACCTATAAGCGGTAAGGATATAACTGCAAGTCGTTTTAAGAATTCGGGTACAGGTACCGTAAGATAGTTCTAATTCTTGGTGTAGGTATCGTACCGAAGTCTGTGGACGTTCTTCCATTACTTGTCGCAGCTTTTCAATAGTTTCTTCATTTCTTAATTTTGGCCTACCGCTGCCTTTTCTACGACTCACACTTCCTGTTTCCCTAAATTAGTCTATCAAACGTAGTACAAAACCGCCGAAAACATCACAAAACAGCTTATTTGTACGCATCTCTTAAAGAACAAATCGATTCACCATTGATTTTTCTGGCATTTCTTAATTAAATTTCAACATTGTCTCATATTGTTTTCCTACTAGTTCGGTAAATACGAAAGCTATTATTTATTGATGGCTGAGCAAAAATGACTTCAACTCCTGAATTATGCTGTCTATATTTTCTGTGTCCATCGCCTAATCGGAAGACAAATTTTGCGGCTCACGGGTTATAATAAAAACGAAAAATGGAAATTACCAACATGCGATGGTGAAAATGCCCATGGACTTGAAGCAGTTGAATTTTAAAATAGGGAATCATTTCAAGTGGTTAGGGGTCATGAAACGTCGAGAAAACATGAAAGTGGCAAGACGCCCGATGGACTCAATTACTATACAGGACGATTATTTTAAAATGTGTGCCTATTCCCCTGTACTTCCTAAGCGTCAGTTAAGTAAAAAATTGGTCTAAATTTATTTCGACAGAACTTCTTTGAAAAACGATAAAATTAGGTTTTGCAATGTTTGTTTTAAGATAACCTCTATGAAGTAAAAGCCGGTGGCAGAAATAACATTATCGCAGCCCCTGCACCATGGGAGCGCAAATTGTAAAGGATTATGCAAATTGCTTGTTTATGCATCGGAAGAATGACACGTAGAAATTTGTTTTGATTTAAATGAGTTTGTCGCCTCAAAAAAGAAAAAAGGGAAAACAAAACGAAATGCCTTACATGGAATTAAACGCATGACCCTCCAGTCCACGCTCCCAAAACTCAGCCGGTAGACCACGATCGTCTTAGAGTTTTACACACGTATAGAAGTTTATTGTTATATAAGAGTTAAATCCAATAAATATAGAATTCTTTGAAATGACGTCATCAAATTATTGGTGGGGATGATTAGCAAAATTTTGGATAGCATTTAACCATCTTCATGATATTTCTAATATACATACAAAACTTGACAACTTTCGGTCTAGCAGTTTCGGATATTACGTGTCTAATAAAAAAGGATACAGACACCAGACAACAGACAGACGGAAACGGAAGTACTGTAGGAGTCATGAAACGTCGAGAAAATATAAAAGTGGCCATTCGTCCAATGGACTCGATTACTATATTTCCTTTGCTTACACACGGGAAGTAAAAAGTAACAATAAAAAGAAGATGGAAAATAGCGACGCTTTTCGTTAATTTAGGCAATTTTTGTATCTAATTAATGCTGTGTTAATATAACATATGCAAAATAGGTGGCGATATTACGGGATTAAAGAGCCATGAAGGGTGGGGCTATATAAAAGTAGCTCAAGCCTACCTACATAGAAAAATCTTTTGAGGGAAAGATAAAAATTGCCAAAAGAGTTTTTGGCAGTGAAGTTAGGCAGTTAAGCAAGGATTCAAGGATACCTTAACCCAGCACGTCTGCTGCTAGCGATAAGTCAATTATAATAATTGTACCTTTAATTTTTATAATTAATAAATAAAAATTTCACTTGGTGTTCAATGTTTTATGAACTCATAAGGTACGTTGCTAGGGGCAGCATGCTTTAAGTCGAATGGCGTGCGTGAAACAGTTTAAAAATCACTCCTGCAGAAAAACATGTAAAAAAAAGATGTTAAAAAATGTTTGATTTAGAACAGGGAGTGTTATAAATTTAAATATAAGGACCTCATACGAATTCGGACAATTGGATTATTGAAAAAGATTGTTCTATATATATTAAGAATACAGTTCAACAATTGCATTTCTTCAGCATCAGGAACTGTTATTAATTAATTAAGATCGTTTAAACATGTTTTCTTTTCTGTACACAACGTAATCAAAATATAAAAACTTCGATTAAGCATTATGCATTTCATTTAGATATATCACTATCTTTAATGAGATAATTTTAAATAAAAATGTAGTTTAGTTCATTTCGGTCACGACCCATATGAAATAATTTAAAATGAAAGTTCATTTCGCTGATACCCTTTATCTTATCAACTTACTTAATATAGAGACATAAATAGGAAAATTTTGTAATTATCATGAACAATATTTGCGTTATAAATATAATATTAACAGAATAAATAATAATCGGACAACAACATAATTACAATTTAATTTTAAATATTATATGTCTATATTTTTTTATGAAATTTTGTTAGTCAGTAGAGGCAAAAATTTTTACTCAACCTTTAGTTATCAATGATTAGCAGAGAAACATTGGTCACTGTTCAAGCAGCTAAAATACTACTACTTGTCCCCTATAGGAGAAGACCAAATGTTCTCTCTTAATTTTCCCAACACTTGATTCAAACGTATTCTGGTCAACCATTAACAGTTGATTGCTACAGCAAAATCTTGAAAACGTCGCTCTAATGCAACGAATTTTTGGATAAATCGTTAAAACCCACCATTTTTTTGAAACTCACTTCTCTTGATCCTTGGAATTTCTACATCTTTCACATACTTCTGGACGTTTGACTATATATGTTTTACGTTTTCTTAGGTATTCTCGATAAAAGGAGAGTATTTATACAAGGAAGCTATACGTTGTGTGTTCTGCCGTATCTTACACTTGTTGTGTGGTAAAATTTAAATAATATCAACCAGGGTTTGGTCGAAAAACTTGAAAAATACGAACATTTAAAAAAGGTTATAAAAAAAAAACATCAGATTAGCCCAGAAACATTGGTCACTGTACAAGTAGCTAAACAACTACTACTTGTCCCCTATAGGAGAAGACCGATGTTCTATGCAGTCTGCTATCACTTATTTTTCTAGGGCTTTTGATCATGTAATCACAGGCTGTTTCTATTTTTACTTCCCGAGCGTAAGCAAAGGAAGTATTGTAATCGAGTCCGTCGGCCGACTCTCTACTTTTACGTTTTCTCGATCTTTCATGACCCCTAGAAGACGAAGAAATAGGTCTCCCATTTCCGTCTGTCTGTCCGTCTGTCCGTCTGTCCGTCCGTCTGTCCGTCTGTCCGTCCGTCTGTCCGTCCGTCTGTCCGTCCGTCTGTCCGTCTGTTGTCACGGATTTTTATTAGACAGATAATCTCCGAAAGTACTCGACCGATTGTTGTGAAATTTTGTACTTATATTAAGAATATCATGTAGATGGTAAAACGCTAACCAAAATTTGTCTAATCATCCCCACCACTAATGCGATGACGTCACTTCAAAATTGTACATAGTAAATGGGTTTTCAATTGTATAAAATAACATAGTCCTACACATGTAGTTTACAACTCCGAATCGACTTTTCACCCGAAACGTCCAGATTTTTGGAAAAAAAATCAAAATTATAAAACAACATTTTGAAATTTAATTTTTAATCTGCTAACCAGAATGCTTTGAAATGTTGCAGATGTTTTAAGGCTATAAAGAGCATCATAAATCTTTAGTCAAAAAATATTTGCTTATCCCCTCCAAAAACTTGATGACGTCAGCTCAAAAGTTTGTGGAATAAATCATATCTAAAATGTACAAAATATGATGAGTCTGTACTTGTGATCTATCACTCCATTCATATTTTTTGGATTTGCATATACAGGGTGACTCAAAAAAATTAATGAATGCGTAAATTTATTTTACTGATTTACTCAGAAACTACAAAACCGAATGCTTTGAAATCTTGCAGATGTTTTAAGGTTCTAAAGAGCATAATAAATGTTTAGTCAAAATATATTTGCTTATCCCCTCCAAAAAATTGATGACGTCAGCTCGAAAGTTTGCCGAATAAATCCTATCTAAACTGTAAAAATATGATGAGTCTGTACTTGTAATTTATCACTCCATTCATATTTTTTGGATTTGCATATACAGGGTGACTCAAAAAAATTAATGAATGCGTAAATATATTTTATTGATTTAATCAGGAACTACAAAACCGAATGCTCTGAAATCTTGCAGATGTTTTAAGGTCATAAAGAGCATAATAAATGTCTAGTCAAAATATATTTGCTTATCCCCTCCAAAAACTTGATGACGTCAGCTCGAAAGTTTGCCGAATAAATCATATCTAAAATGTACAAAATATGATGAGTCTGTACTTGTCATTTATCACTCCATTTATATTTTTTGGATTTGCATATACAGAGTGACTCAAAAAAATTAATGAATGCGTAAATATATTTTATTGATTTAATCAGGAACTACAAAATCGAATTCTTTGAAATCCACTGCGAAAAAAAAAACATAATAGGCATGCAGTCGTCACGTTTCCGACAGCGAGGGAA